ACCTAGGTCTACCCTGAGCCAAGAGGCGCTGAAACTTTTCGAAATCACAAAAGAGTTCCCCTACCGGTTCTGTATACTTTGTGACTTTGTTCCCGGTTACCGGGTCTGCATACACTACCTAACACTAACCCTTTTTCTCTATAATTTATTAACTGTGTAAAACGGGCACCTGTCCAACGCGGACGCCATATTTTAACACACAACCCCTATCACACAAAACAATATAACACCTGTCTAAGACAGCCACCTTAGTGACTCCATTACGTTTTGTCATAAATTGTGCATTTGCCCCCTGGCGTTGTGAGCGAGCCATGTCATTGTAGTCCCTCCAACCGATCATGTAGCGTAGGCCCCTCCCACTGTTGACCAATAGGTACCAATTTCCAGCTGCTGGTGAAGTTATAAAAGTGTGATCCCTCATAACCCAAGCCCCGCCCAGAACTCATATATACACAAATCGTAAGTGAGATCATGAGTGGTCACTGTTTACCCAGTCTGCAACAAAGTAACAATGGACGTCAACATGAACTTGCGACAGAAGCGTCCCTCGTTCTCCGAGTGGTGGCAACCCATGCGTTAGTTTTAACATGGCACTCCGTCTTCCTTGTCTTATACATTTCATATTATTGTCACCCTTGTGCAAAATCAACAACAAAATAAAAAATAAACAAAATACAAACCAACAACAAAAACAACAACAATGCGGCTACTTTCGATTGGGATATCAGACGGGAAAGGTTTGCTTTCTTCATCTTGATCAGTCCTGCCTAAGCCGACCACCTGTGTTATACGGCCACTTTTCTCCTTGACAATGGGTGGCCGTCTCACACAGGTTTAACTGTAATAGATCTAGATCTAGATATAGATCTAGATCTAGTTCACTGACAGTCAAGCCCGAACTCTTGCTGAATTAACTTGTCTTCCAGTCTTCACTTTTAATTTGTATTTCAGTCCCTGTTACTACTTAAAATAATAAGCATAATTCTACTTTTGATAACAAATGTCACGAGAGTGTTGGAGTCAGAATAAGCTATAGGAATTCAACGTGGGAAAAGAACAAAATTGTAGATTCCACACTAATAACCCACTCTCACAACCAACGTAGGCAGGCCTAGCCTTGCCGGTATGATCGATAAGCTCCCCCATGTATGCACATACATTATCAGAAACCTACTGCGCCGAACAGATGTGACAAGCGAAATGCTTCTCGGGGTTCAAATACACTGACAATCTACAGCTTTGCACTGAAGTGGAAAACAAGGCATGTCATGCATGCTTCGGATGTTGGTTTTGCCGGGAATCTGGAGGAGAACGAAAACAAAAACAAAGATAACCACTTCCGTAATCTGCTCTTTACACTTTCTTAACTGGAAATGCGCTCCAAAACACAGGCAATTCACTGTATGTGATCGTCCATGCCTAGACCCTAATCTACCAAAGATGGCATGCAATCACCACGATAGAATTTGTAAAAGGATATAATACAGGGAACAAATTAATACACATGGTATTACCTGCCACCTCGATGCTGTGTAATCCGCCATGTTGAATTTCAAATTCGTGACGTCACGATCTCGTTATCCCTCGTAAAGTTGGCCCAGTCTGTCTTGGTGGCCTTTCATCAGGGATGGCTACCACTAGGCCTACCAATGTTGACACAGATTCCACAACCACCTGCGGTAAGTAAAAAGCGTTTTTTGACAGAGAGAAACATTTTTGCTGAGAAACGACGGGTGTTGGACTGAGATCTAGTCGTTGATGAGCATTTCAGAGCCCCGTTTTGATGAAAATGTAGCGTAACTGAAAAGAAATGCGCAAAAATCCACTTGACTGCAAGGTGGTTGTCCCTATTTTGCTATAGTTTTCGCATCTGAACATGTTCGTGGAGTAAGTTGCTGGTATTTTAGGCCTTAAAGTAACTTTTTACAACTGTAAATGAAGTCTTGCTCACCTAATACCTACGGCAACCTGATAATAAAAGAACACGTACGTGCATTAGCCTGACACGAGAAAGCGGCAATAGTTTCAACGTGCGTGCAACATCCACGGGAGGCAACCGAGGAAATTGCGTAACTAGGATTCTGAATCTAGTCTTTCCCCTTGGAAAGAGTTTGGGTTGATAGGCCAAGTCAGTCAATAGACGATAGACCAGGCTTATAATGATATCTCTGCCTCTGCATCTATGTGGTCCCCGGTCAATCTCATAGTTTGCCACACCTTGAATGTTACTTACTGCTGGCCGGGCGATCAACGGCACGCCTTACTTCCTTTTTCTCTCGTGTCTGAGGAGTGTCAAGTGACAAGCACTTTTCCATTTGTATTTTTATCAGGGGCGGCTCGCTGGTCTAACAAGTCTTAGTGGAGGTGCACAATTAGATCTAACTTAAAGCAGGATGAAGACAGTCAAAGGCATGGTAGGTGATATGTATTCTTCATCCTACCTGTTTAGAGAAAATCTATTCGAAGAAGTCTACCCTTCGTTCTTTTGCTGCAACAAATGTGTCCATTTTTTTTTTGTTGGCGAAGTTGGAGATGATGTCCAATGATATCCTTGTGGATCGACTTAAAAACGTCAATGCGATTTCTAGGAGTTTGCCTATTTCTCTAAATATTGTATCGAGTTTGTAGTCCTCCTGAGTTGAATAAAGACCGTGGGTTGTACGACACTGAGCAAACTTACTTAAATGTTTCATTGCAATATAATATTTCTAATTGTGTTTGTAACTTGATTTTATACAAAACAGATTAGCTTTCTAAAATACTATCCCAAAAAACCGTAGGAAACGACTTTTGATAGTCCTGGAATTTGGAGGGGTAGACGATTGATAGTGTATAGATTTTATTTTGCTTCAAGAAACGGTAAACTAGTTGAGTGACTATTATGTCACAGGCCTCCTTTGCAGCACTTTCGTTGGTGTCATGTTGTGACGTCTGCGTCTCTTGGAAGTTTGTTCCTGTGTGGTCTGACTTGTCAATGGTACACTTGTACTGTACTGTCTTTAATTTCCCCGATGGCGGCTTTAAAAAACTTGTCTAGAGCTTGTTGGGCTGCTATGGTCGTTGTACTTCTGTGTTGGAGGATCCCATACACAACGTCAACGTGCGTAGTGTGAACACTTTGTTTTAAAAGGTGCAAAAAGAAGAGAAATGTATCGCTCTTTAATACATTCAAGAGACCACATGCTTCGTGGTTTGTATTATGGTTTCAGTGCTCAGACTGAATTTCTTCAAGACAGAACTGGATTTCTCCTTTCCAACGGAAGACTGCTAGTACGTCGAGACGGACAATTCCACTTTGTTTCTGACGGCCGTGGAATATTCCGGTGACAAAAGCGTCTGAGAACGTCAATGCGTTTTGTAAAGTGGGCACAAAATGTCAAAAAGCCTGCAACGTTAGCAAAATATATCCAGCAGATTGATATGCCCTGAACAAGCACGCTTTACTTTACTTTAAAAACAAGATTCAGCCGGTGCGCATAGCAATGAATAAAGACAAGAAAAGGGAAAGTTGGCGCCTCTGAGTCTGTACACCAGAGACTCTCCCGCTCATTACAGCTGCCCCTTCGTAGGTTTGGGCGACCAGCTTCTCCTGGACACTGAATGGTTCTAAAGCTTTGTTTAGGGTTGAAACGAGCCCTGATGAAGTGCTATCTTTGGCTTCAAAAAGACTTTAGTAGAAACCTGTCTACCGGTTTTCCGACCTTAATATACCTCAGAATGATCTCACACTATGACATTGGATTGCTCTGAAGCTATCATAATTCGGGCATTTGGAGAGAAGGTTTCACAATGATATGACGACCAAGTTTAGGAACCAAAGTGCTACCGTCCGTTCTCCAAACATCTCGCTATGCGTGTACGTGAACGGTTACAAACCCAGAAAGTACAACTATTGTTTGGTAGGTATCAGTTGACTTTCGAAGGAAACTGACGAGAGCCTGCTGGAATTTGGTTTCGACGAAAGTGTCGCTTACGAAGTTATGTCATACGGCGCACCAGGAAATTAAATTTTTCATCGCAACTGGAGGTTCCCCGCCGAGTGCCTTATCTCGTCGGGGTCATGGAGGTCACTGGGTCAGCTCTCGAAAACAGCACCTCGGCACAGATGGCTGTTGCCTCTCTAAAGAAACTATCAAAGGTTAATTTTGAAACTTTTCAGTTTAGAGTTTCACCAGAGAGTTTACAGTACAACTCTCTGGTTTTAGATGTATCCCTGTACTCATGGTCATTGTCGTTGAACGCAGCCAAGATGGGAAATTGTGCTTATGAGATTTGTATGGAGAAGTGCAGTTTAAAAAACAAAAACAAACAAACACACCAACACCCCCCCCCCCCCCACACACACACACACACAAAACAAACAAAAAAAGCAAAAACAATATAAAGTAACACGTAGGTGAGTTTTTGGAACAAAGACGACACAAGCTAAAAGAGGTACACGAAATGGGCGAGTCTGCTGAGATGGTAGTATTGATTTATTATTATCTTTGCACCATAATCCACCCAGGAACATCACAATGTGCTGAAAGTCATTTGAAAACGCTGCTGTTCCTTCACCATACTTTATGTGTCTTGTGCATTCTACATTATTTATGCAAAAGCTTGTTATTATGTTAAATAGCTGTATTCTCTGTGGTCTCTCCGTGCAGCTGTACAAATCTATAGTTGTGTGTGGCAGAGGACAGCTACTGTGTGTGTGTGTGTGTGTGTGTGTGTGTGTGTGTG